AAAACAGCCTCTTAACGAGTAAACGTGAATGAATGAGAATTAGCTCAAAATTAAGATTTGTAATCAAAACGAGTGAAGGTATTTGGTTTCGATAGGCTCAGGATCGCTTAGTCAACAGCTAACGGCATATATCACAATATGCATCCTTCTGATCAAAGTTTTCACATCATAGCCTTTTCTCGAGTTGTGTCTAGATTTTAGAGAACTTTGGAATTCTGTTCCAGAAGCTACTCGAATAAACTAATATTTATAAAATCTTTTTGAATAGTGAAGTAAAAAGGTGAGAGATAAGAAAAAAGAGAAACAGGAAGGATAATATGCCTTCAATAGCCAACTTTCAACCGACCTGGCTTGAAGTCGGTCATCCGCTTGACTAGGTGTTCTACAAACAACGGTTGCTTCTCGTCATACCCTGTCACCTGAAAATGAACTGCGAATTAAGTCCGAAAAACCAGCCAATTATTGTGTTAAAAAATCACAATAGTCACCGACTATTTGTAAAAAGATTAGTGATGGTTACTGCACATACAAGACCAAGTTAGAAGGCAATACAGAAATTTGATGCACCGTGAACGTCACTAATGCGTTCAGAGAGTTAGCAGACCTATTGCAATGTTAGCCTGTGGTGAGTGGGCGTGAAGACAACAATAAATAACGGTGTCGTACATAAAGTAAAGTGCTTCTCGCTAACGAACAGGATCAGAAGCAACAAAATGCCGATCAAAATAACAACAAAAGGTAGATTTCTATTTCGCCCGTTTTCATACTAGATTCCAAATTCAGATGTAACCATTGCGTGAATCTGAATATGTATCCGATTCATTTTTCTAATTTGCAGCTAATCAGAAAAATGTATTGAACACCTATACAGTTAGAAGCCCACCCCATATTAGAGAACAAAGGAGGACATACAAGGCGTAGACAAGCTCTACTCGAACGGAACAACCGCGAACCTTATTCAGGCCATCGTAGGACTCGAAAAGACGGCACATAACTCATTAGGGAAACAAAGGAACACGGCACAACAAAACACACAAGCAAAATTAGAAGCGGCTCCTGATTTCCTGCACGACCCCTCACTTTTAGATTTGTTCCAAAGGTTCCTAGCTCAAGTTCACACTTCAGACCTGCCAGTTCAGCGTTGTAGGTTTCCTCCGTCAGGGCATCCTGTAAGATTTACCAACTATGGTAAGATAAAAAAATTACAAATAATAATTTGAAATTTCACATTATTAATACACTTACATTCAAACACCACAGAAACATGGACGACAGCATCGTCGATCTCGGATCAGCAGCGATTATCGGAGCAGTGACAGACAACTGAAAATGCCAAAGCGGCTAACCGTAATTCATATCAAGCCATAAAGAATAAAACGCATGTATTGACGAGATCGGTTGACTTGACCTTATTTGGGTAAACTCCAGTCCCGATGCTATATTCAAAAACCAACCTTGGTAACCATTTTCGGTAGTTTGTACTCATCATCCTGCTTGAACCAAATACGACACCATACATCATCATATATGACTCGTGGGTGTTCACTAAAATTAGCTATTTCAGTCAGGCTTAAGCATAGTTGACCCCCCTGTATGGTCGTGATGTTTCACCACAATGGGCGCGGAACAGCAGAACAAACAAGTTGACTTTCATAGCCTCTTCTGGGTGCAAAGTTCATGCTTCCGCCCAACGTAGCGCGAGATAAGGGAATGGCTCAATCTGTACCTGACCAGCAGTCTTATCGTTGCGCCCTAAAGCGTCTCAGGGAAGTAAGGAGAGAACTCTGTGACCTATTCGACTCAAGGGGCCCGATAACCTTCACAAAAAGATTACGCCTCACAGAACTCGCAGAATAAATGCGCGAACATTAAACGAACAGGTCTACAGCTGAGCACGGTCATGGACATGCCTACAGTCACGTGATGTACTTCTAACGATAACGTACTGCGTTAACAGGTACTGGGATAGCGCATGAATGCTGTCGAGGCATCTTCAGTCACTACCGTCATGGCTGCTAAAGCATCGGAGTGTTATCAACAAAACTCATGTAAAGTCGCGGCGCAATTATAGCGAATAGAAAAACACCAAGATTCAAAGTAAATGAGCATAGTAGTCGACAGAAAAGAATTTGTACCTTTTCACTGCTTCTCGAGGCTTCTGATCAAATTTGGTTGGTATATACTCGTTTTTCTCCGGCATATGTAGAGCAGGATGGACCGTCTCTATAGCCGCTTGGAACCGGTTCATCGTACCCTTGAATAGCATGTTATAACATTAATTTTAGGGGACAAGAGCAGGTATTTCAACATCAAATAAGAACGCAAAAAATACCTCATTGATGCTACTGATTCTCATCTCGGTTCCATAGACCGGCTCTTCAGTGTTTCCTTCCTGACCGCTGAAGTTCTTCGAAATCACCATATAAAACATATTCTGCGGAATCAACATGTCAAGAATCTCCATGATTCGTCCTGACCGCTGAAGTTCTTCGAAATCACCATATAAAACATATTCTGCGGTGTCAACATGTCAAGAATCTCCATGATTCGATCTGGAACTCACGAAAGTACTCAAAACCATTAAAAGATCAGAGCATTCAATTGAAGCCGCTGGAGTGCTGAAGAGGCACTAACCGTCAACATACCAGGTTTAAATTCCGTCAACAAATAGTGCCATGATAAAATATCTTTGAATGGTACAAGCTTTAACTCCGAAGCTAGCTTCGTAGCCAAACTCAACGGATTTTCTTTGTCCTGGAACGATTAGAAGTGAACAAAAACTTCACATAAGGTTCAGAGGAAAGTTCACAGCTTGACTTACCTTAAACCTAAATTTGAGCTCTCCTAATTCACTAAGCTCATCTTGAACCCATTTAGCGGCACCAGTACGTTTTAATAGACCAATATAGTTGAATACAAGGCTGACTATATCTTCCGTATGATTAAGGCCATCTGAAATATGGAGCATTCTATCGACTGTTGACAGTCCTGTAGTTCCTCCGTATAATGACATGTGCGTTAACCACAGTGTATCAGCCATCGCTAGTATAAGGCGGTTATAAGGTGATGGGCTGGGCTGATTAGGCAATATCAGCATGCAACTGAGAAGCATCAAGCTTTAGCAAATCTTCCCAGCAACGACAAGTTAGTGTGAACTCTACCGTGCACGCTAACTTCTGCATTTGATACTAAATAACAATAGCTGAATTTGACCAAATGATTTCTTCACAACAAGCATTTGAAAAAAAAAAGTGACTGAGGCTAGCAGAAGCAGAAAAACCTAATCAAATCGGCTCGTCCTGTAAAGCTCACCTATTCAAAACAACTAAAACTCGATTATTAGTCCAGGCATAAATCCTAGTAAGCTACCGCCTATATACCAACAGGATGTTGCGGCGCGTGGGTCTTAGTAGCGTTACTGATATGGCTTGGTGTCCCGAAAAATCAAGTGTGGGTTCAATACTTTCTAAGAATGATAGCTTCATTTCAACGCATTTCTTCAACGCACTTCATTTCCAACATTTCAACGCAACGGTGGTAATATAAGCCAAAGGGAAAGCGGTGAAAATAGTAATTAGCACAAAAAATCAAATGATAATGACAATTACAACTGAACTCACCAACGCTAAGATCAACATGAATATCAAATGTGCTCATTCCTTTTGCCAGAGTGGATTCTCCAGCCGAAAGTGAGCTAACCCATCCTAAACGCTTCAGTTCTGATAGCAAGGAGCCCTTTCCTTCATGTCCGAGCAAATGAGCTGAAAGAAAACAGGTCAAAATTCAAAAGCAGCCCTTTGATGAAATAAAAGGTTGAAAAACTATAAGGAGCATCTCTAATCAGAGGTTCAACAGGTAAGGTAGGTGAACTGCAATGAAGAAAGCTTACAGATATAATGTGATGGATTCGATTTGTACTCTTCTTGCAAGTCCGGGATTGGGAACCGAATCGTTAGACTTCGTGTGTCTTTGATGGGCACAATCTAAATTGGAAGTATAGTAGGAAAAACATGGTACAAGCAAGTTCAAATCCTTTTAAAATTGCACATCGCCTTTGTCCCCTGTTCTTACACGGCCTTAACAAACACTTTTAGCGACAAGAATGTGAAGCAACATTGGAAAACATTTTTCAAGGCCAAATGTGATTGAATGGAAGCATAAATTAAGAAAACCGCCGCATGACATTGCATTTGCATGCATTTCTAATTCCCACTTTAGCGCAGGAACATTTCAAATGAATTAAAAAGTAATTTCAGACAATGAACAAACCTCAATACGTCTACCTAACTGCTCCCGTCCATAAGGACTTTCCAACCATTTCATTGGTTTAACTTGCTTATTTTCGATAGCATCGAAGCCCAACGTGCCAAGATAAGCTTCCATTTCATCCAACGACTCTGACCCAACAATGCACAGCGACATGCTAAAGTGACAACAAGTAAACATTTAGTCACTATCAGTTAATCTGAAGAAGCGATGGAATAGTACCATTGCAACAACCTAGGCAGATTTCTGTTTTATGATCAGCGAGATGAGGGCAGTTGCCAATTTAGCACACTCAGAAGAAACTTTTTTAAGGAGACTTTTCATTTTGAACTATTTCGAATGGTTGTTCCGCTTGAATGGAAATTGCAAGCTCAAATACCAATTAAGTGAATTCAAGAAATGACGCACATATTAGAGCTATACCACTGCTTGTGGAACTTCAACAATGCTTCCCTTGGTTCGATTCCATTCTTGCGGGCATCATCCATCAACGTTTTCTATAATAGTAATAATTAGGAAATCAGACTGTACGGATAATAAGCATACTACCCACCTTACTTCCCGTACCGAACTTTCCATAGTCATGGCCTGGCTTGGATAGGAACCTGAAACTTTTGAATATCACAAATTATACACGAGGGAAGTTCATTATACAATGACGTTGGCATCAGTCCCATTTCGTTATTCACAAATGGATTCCCGTGCCATTTTGAAAAGCAAAAAGAAAGAAAAAAGCTTTGAAACGATAGGATACGGCCCTCGTGGAACACTTAACACTACAGAATGAAAAACGAAATCAAACGTCCAGTCAAAATATCGTGCCTATACCTAGAAGACTTCTTCGATAAAAACAACTTCTAGCTAAACGCCTCCTAAGTCAGTGTACCTCTAAAGATCACTGAGCGTTTAACACTCACAATATATCCGATACTCTAACAGGACAGACTGTTTTCGAGTACGGGAGAAAAGATAAGTCTGTCTGGTTTTTCAACCCTCGTCTGACAATGAGTATTGCAACTGCTGAAATCTCACCGTTCTACTTGCAACTTGCGCCATCCATCATTCTTCAGATTATTCGAATGTTCCGAGTCAACCGCACACACCTTAAGAAATTGCCTAATACTACAGATCTTGATATTTCGCCTGAGCAACCAAAAGTTCTTCGAGAATCAGTAGGGACCCAAATTAAAAGCACTAACCTCTCTTTCAGTGGCACTTTCTGTGAATTGTGGGGCCAAAAAGAATTGTACAAAACGATCTAAAGCTCCCTGAATATCAAAGAAGTTTTATTAGAAAAAATATGAACACAGTCAATCAGAAACTTGTAATTTTCACATGAGAACGTACCTCTAACTGATCTGGCTTCACATCAAAATGGTAATTTGTGTGATCGGCCGCCGTATACGCATTTGTGGTACCGGCATGAGCAGAAATGAACTGGAACATTACATTTAGAACAAAATCAAATAAAGAGCAGGGATTGAGCTCATTCTCAACAAACCTTACTGTACTCGTTCTCTGATGGGTATTTATCGGTACCTAGAAATAACATATGTTCGCAGAAATGAGCTGTGCCTGGCAGTTCCCATGGATCCATGAGATGACCTGGAATTCAAAAACATGAACAGTGAGCTTCTATCAAACAGTTTTTCTTGAACATGAATATCTGGAGGCTATTTGGGAACCGAAAAAATTAGCACTCACCGGCATTAACATCCAGTGCGGCAGCAGATTTATCTGTCGTTGGGTCGGATACCAGCAATACCTTGAGGCCATTTGTGAGCTCTAGTCCTCGATACTGAAAACACTCATTTTTGAACAAACAAGGCCATTTAAATCTTTGACGTCTTTAAACTAATGACAGATTTTGAAAATACTCTCTGCAATCACAAAGTTGACGAGTTATGAGCTATACGCGAAACTTCGGTGTCAAACGGGACTCAAACCCTTACTTGTACTCTTTATCTTTCCCTCCAGGACTCAGCTTGCCTAGCCTGGAAAACGCTGGTAAAACTTCCTACATTCTCAGACCAGACAACAAAATACAATTCAGAAACATTACAAACGGTTGCAGAGCAAAAAAAAAATTAAAATATGTGGCGAATCGTTGTCAAAACATCGTCATGTGCTAGTAAATCAATGAGCGATGCGATAGGAACAGCGACTCTCGCATCTTTCGTTGACTGCGATTAAGCGATGCGACTAATTGTAAGTTTTCTATGGAACTTAGAAAGGAAGAGTAAGAGTAAACCAATGGTGCGGAATGCCGGTTTTCAAATTCAGGTGCCAAATTTTCAGGTGGATCTATCAGGCAGCTTACTTAATGTTCCTAGAATTCACTTATGAATTTTTGCCAGATATTAGCAACCTCACTTAAAATATTTATTTTTATTGCAAAATGCAAGAAATCCATTCACCTGTCGCTGATCTTCAGTGCTTTTAACGATATCGTTGTGTCTACGGAGAACAATGTTCTTAGTCATTTTCATTTGAGGTGCGGGTGTTGATATGAATCGGACACGTGCTGTACACAAAAATGCACGATGAGACCTTAAAACGAGCAAAGTTTTGTAGAGACTAGAACTAAATAAATAGCCAGAAAGCACGAAAAGCAATTCTTTTGGAAAAAAATATTTATAAGAAAAGCACTTGAGAGCAAAGCGATGCCCTCCTAAGGAAATTGTAAAAAAAATTCTGCTCGGGAAAGTGCTAGCCGACTTTAGCTTGATGAGTTCTCGATATCGGAAATTACAATCGGAAGTCTGAAAAGTAGTGCGAGAGGATGCAAAATATATTCCGCATGAAAGCCATGGAGAATAGCTTCTGAAGACCTTTAGAAAAGAGCAAAACAAGTAGAACCGAACTTTTTGGTTCTTTCAAGATTGAGAAAAAAACATTTCCTCAAGGAAACACAGAAAACATAACATAATGGCTCGATTTTTTTGACCCAGAAAACTGTTTTTCGTCAACCAACAGGAATTTCGTAAAAAATAGAATAGGACACCGGACAGAATAAGGGGTGAATAGAACCGTCAATGAATCAAAGATTCATTTGTAGCAGTACTTTCCGTCCATCCCTATTATAACTAATTATGTCACGAAATAATCATCAAAAACATGAAAACAAAGTAAAATGTTACGAATATATAGGCAACGTAAGACATAATGGTGACGAGTGGAGGAATTCTATACGGGTTAAATGACCAAGGTCGAACGGATTCCGCTCGTATTCATAGAAAGGCATTTCCGCCTGCGTCAATTGACACCTGCCGCAATCAGTCCTCGAATATCAGCTAATTACTGCTCTAAATAATCCTAAAATTAGCAGCGAACTGACCAATCTGCTCCGACAAATATGATCCGCACCCCTTCAGACCAGTTACTGCTATCCCGAAATCAAACCTAGGTAATTCGGGAGGGAATTCCATGAAAAAATCTGGATTCCTTCCCATTAAGACTTCTGATAGCATGAAACACTACAGCCTTAATATTTCTACAGCGGGATGTTTCCCTTCTATCATAACTGGTTTCCAAACCGAACTAAACGAGAGGAAGAGTGAATTATTATCGGGGAAGGAGCGCCCAGAAGAAAACTACACAATACTTGATCCGCTACATTAAAACAAATAAAGTAACAATATGCAACGATATCTCTCTTCTGAGACTGAGCAATGAGTAGGAGATGTTCGACAAGAGGAACGCTCCTACTCTCACCTCCCAACGAATATATCGAGCTATACGACCGCCCATTCGGCGTGCATAACAACTTTATAGTACGACGACACCTTAATCAGAATATGATCGACAATAATAGTCAGCTAAGTGGACGGATAACCGGTCTTTAGACCCTCATTACAGAGACTCGAGTTGTTCATAATGAATCTTTGCCTAACCACCTGCCGCCTGCTAGGAATGATCGTACTTTGTGCAAAAATCTCAGCATTAAATCTCTCACACGAATTAATCGCTACTTGGAGCTGCGTTGAGAACGTCAAAGCGGATTAGTACCAAATACATTACGGAGAACGATATAGTCCCTTTTGAAGCTTATTCCAAAACGAAAACCTATAACACGATACTGAACTAAGCGGGAAAGTTCGATGCAAAAATCGTTGTGATTCACGCGAACGCGTGATTTCCCTCTATAACGACATTTCCACTTGTGATACAAGTAACACAGGCTCTATGCAAGTATATGCGTTCTTTGAACACCACTCTGGATTACCCAAAATTATCGGTAACCGTGTCTTCAATATATTTAACGCAACCAATGACAACGTGGATTGCCACTTAACAACAGAAATCGCGATAAAATATTAACCCGATAAAAGCAAAGTGAGAGCAGAACATGCTAGCTCTCCATTTCGGACAGACTTTGAAGGTATGGAGGAAGAATTAAACGCCAACGCCTATGGAAGGGCGTGGGAGAGCCAATTGCGATTCACAGCAAAAAGCCCAATACATGATTGTCTTTCCATATAAAGTTATTGACATCATGAAATGATATTCCCTTCTTTTCACAAGAACAAATGATATTATCAGAAAAGAATGAGAAATAGCTGACATAAAAACATGAGTGGGCAGAAAAGGAACGTCGTAATCTCTCCACACATCGACTAACACCCAAGCAGTTCTCGCAACGCCGAGTCGAACGAGATTTCGTAGAAATCATATCAACAAACGTTTTATGAGAAACGAACAAAGATTAGCGCTTGGTAATTACTCCTACGAAGATTATAACGAAGAAATGGTTTCTACGACATGGGAGATTTACTGAATTGATTAGGAGTCTCTTGGTTATAAAATAATATTCACTGCAAATTTTGACAATGTTTACAATTGCATGTCTAAATAAATAGAGGGGCCGTGTCTCCCCCGCACATTATCTAAGCTAAGTTGAGATAATCCCGCTTTGGAGGATGTTATAAACCACCCACAACAGCTTTCATGTATGGTGCCATTGCAAAAAACAATTAAAAGTTGCTACTGATTGACAGCGCCCAAACTTTACGCTGCCTGAGGTGCGCCATGCACTATGCGCCAACAGTTAGACGTTTAGACGACGAGGAAGGATTCTTACGGCAGCCTGTCAGTGTAGGTAGTTTGGTCTACTGTACAAGACTACTCTACCAGAATCTAAACCTTAACAGCTTAAATCATCAAACCAACTGAAAACCCGGCCCTAAAGGAACTTTGTCCCGATCGCACCCGATAAGCTCGAAGACAACAAATTCATAAACCAATAGTTTGGTAATGCACGGCGACATGGCACCGACGTCAGTAGCGCTGACTCCAGATGCTCCCGTATCTAACAACTGCAAAGACGGATTCGGTTAATTCCAACCACAGCGATTGAATTCAAGAAAATTTTGAAGAGAATAAGACAAGTGAAATTATAAAGGGTAAGCAGGGCAGCAATCAACGGAAATTTAGACCACTTGCTGTTAACAATACTCAGGCGAAGTTTGTAGAATAAACATTTACCTACGCAGCCTTCAAAAAGAGTGGGCTGGAACAGGATCAAATAGGTGTGGTTCCTTCGTCCCATGGTACCAGTAAAACATCAAAATGGGGAATAGGGGAGAAGGAGAGGGTAAGCAAAAGAAAGTGGTTTAATTATCGAGCAGCGGCTGTTAAACTAATGATCACACGCCTTTTGGGAATTTTTTTCTTCAAAAAGGGATTATTTGGCTTTTATCGCTTATGCTCACGTTAAACGATGCGCTAAATTTCTTATGAGTAAAATTTTTCTCAACAGTAGTCATTTGAGTACGAGCTCCACATGAAAACGTGAATGAATCCATTGGAATTGCATAAAAAAAGGAAGCCAGACAGGAGGCTCCGGAAAATTTTCTCATTTTCACACTGAGAAGCTGTTGAAGGAAGGACGGCGCATCGATGTGCGCCCACAGTAGTCGGGAAATGTAATTGCCTTATTTCCACTGTCTTGCGATGAAGAAATAGGAGAGAATTGGAGACAATCAGTGTGGTAGAGAGAAAGCGATGCGAACCACCCTCCCACATACAGAAAACCGCTATTACGACCCATTCAAAAGGGCAGAACAGAAAATAATCACAATCATTGTCAAAAGGGTACACCATAAATCAGTAGGCTTTAGTGAACTTATTCTGTACTATATGGTGGTTCAAATTATGACAAGAAAAAATTCTAACCGATAAAACTGCTTAAATGTATCGGGTTGAATGCCTAATTAAGAATCAATTGGGGAGAAAATAAATGAAACTGAGGGCTCGTGAGGAACAATAAAGGGAAAACAAAAAGAGAAACGATAAAAAAGCAAGTGGACGACAGAAAGCAGTAGGAGGTGGAGATAGTCGATTTACATTTACCATGAAAGAAGGTGTTCTACCTGGAAAAGCTTACGTATAACGACATTTGTGAGATCGGATGCCTGGATTCGAAGTAACCCGATAAGAAGGATATCGACAGCAAATTCCGAGGAAACGTCATCTGACGCCAAACGCCGCCTTTTGTTCGCAGATTCAAATTCCCTGACAATCGCCAGTGATGAGGTTAATCTGAGAGTGATACCAAATACATGAATGCAAAAGGAACAACCTCTAATGGCCATGTTTGTAGCGGTTGAAAAGTAGAGCAGAACCGATGAAAACGAAAGATAAAACGGGAAAAGATCAAAGATAACTAGTCAAATACGACAAGAAAGTCAAAGAGAAGAATATGAAGTAAGATAAGGGAATATTGAAGAGAAAGAGATCCACTATATTGCACGGCAAAGAGTAAGGTATTGAAAGCTAAGGAGTTACAAAAGAGCTAAATGGAGGAGTGGAAGTGTCATGAGGAAGCAACAGGAAAAGAAAACAGAGAAACGATGAAGAAAGGTTAAAAAGGACTGAAGAGAGGATGATTCAAAAGGACTAAACTGACTGACTGGAAGATTCTCGGAAAGAGGGTGAAATTTTGGACGAACGACAGGGACCTTAGTTTCGATAAAATTTGGCGACTTGTAAACTGGAGGAGAAAAAAAAGAGTCGATTCTTGAAAAATCACCACGAAAGGAAACAAAAAAGTAAGGAAAGAAGTACATGAAAAGAAAACCTTCAGAGTGAAACGTAAAAGAAAACTGAGTCAATTCGCTCCCCATATTATCTCAGACTACAATAAATTGGTCCACTCAATAGACGAATGTCAACTAATCGCTCTTTTTCCGCAACAACTCTTGCCTATGGCTTGATGCCCTTTCTAAAGACCCCCCATAACATTGAAATTGTCAATACCCAATTTTCACATAGAAACTCCACTCAATGGTTTCCTGAAGCTACCTCCATTTCGTAATCCTATTGATTTCGAAGATTTCTCGCAACAACGGAAGCATTTCACGGCTATAGCATGAGGCGAGGCGAAAAAGACCGTCAGAGGAATCTCAGACATGGCTCGCAACCTTTCCAATTCACAGCTCCGAGCGCTTTCGTTTAGCAGATTAGTTTGGTTTCTTGGAACAGGCCGAAGATTAACCAGCTCCGCCACTTAAGGGTAGCACACAACATCCATGTCCAATCTCATCGCACAAACGTCGCCATGACTTAATCCTGTAGGGTTTTCCCAGCTCTACTTTCAAGGTCTAAACAATTTTTAAAAAACAGCAAACAGATGTAAGCACGCGTTCTCCTCGGAAGCAAACCATGGAGTATTCCCCGAATCAACCACTTCAGGAAAACGGGGTGGGCACACAAGTACGGCATGCATTTGCGTCACAGTCCCCCTACTCGTATTGGATCGATTCCCGCTATATACCATTCAGCACCAGAGAAGCTGTCCGCAGTGGGAGACGGACGCGTCATTGTTTCCCTCGTCATTGAATCAGATACGCTACTTATAATATGCCTTTTGCATAAACGCACTTTCCCTGCAGACATTCCCCACAACTTTGTGCGCTTTTTCTACTTTGGGACCCTTGAAGATAAGTAGAGATTAATTTCCCAGTTTTCTCATTATTCAGGGGTTGGTGCTGAAAAGGACGGGACTGACATCCCTACATGACCGCTGCATCATTAATTCGAAGAACCAAAGTAGAAAGTTAATAAGCTTAGGAAATTAAGGCAAATGGTTGACTTCGTTTGCCTGAATAAACAAAACTCTCTGCTACAGGAAAATGGGACGGGAGGTGCGATATCGGCAAAATTATAGAAATTGCAGATATATAGGCATGGCGCCCCTTTTACTGTGTTTCACTCGCTTTTAAACTTGGGCAAAAGCCGAAAACTAAGCGCTATAGTGATATTTTCGGAGAAAGTAGTTCTCCGGTGGGTAAGTCATCGTGATGCGTAAAAACTTTGGTTATGCGAGGTGCGTGAATTATCAAAGAATGCTGTTCGGACGGGGAAAGTGTAAACGAGAGTTGCGAATAACTTGGCTGCTTTTACAGTCCACAATGTGGACCGGCATTCAGCGACGTCAGTTCACCGAAGCTACCGCGACGCACGGGGTATGCATGCGGTAATCGATCCACAAGTGCCCTTCGTCACTTTATAACCAGGACGCTTGAAACACTCCAGCTATACCGTCCGGCTTCCCTAATTCTTTCAGCGGCTGATTACCGCTCTCACAATGAACCTTCGTGGTCTGATACAATGTTAGCCAGTGGAGGCGTCCTGAAATCCTCAACGTTTCATTTCAGCGCAGACAAAGCCAAAGATCCAACCAGCCATTGCTTCAACCCACACAGCACCTAAATAGGTCTACTAAAAGTGTTGTTGCTGATCAATTACCAGATTAGAGCATACCCTCTGAAGATGTGACAACTGCTTGACCAACAGTTATCTGTCAAAATCGAGAGCATTGTGTATATTTGAAATAGAGCTCTTGCTTGTTTTCATTAAATAACAGCTACCCTTTACCGCGAGTTGCCCACTTGGGTATCGAGTAAGTTTTATTATCATTATTCACAGAGGAAATGGCACTAGTCACATGCACCACCTTTTGTTTTTACGCCTGGAACCTGTTAGCGTTTGAAAACACAGAAATGATGATTGCAGAGATAAACCCAGAAGGTTAGTGTCAATGTAAGTAGCAGGATCTCATTCACTTATGGCTTTCAACGGGGCTACGATCACATTGCGGTTTTCAGCAAGGTGCCATTGCATTGAACAGGTGTGAAGAAAAGAAACAGTTCTTTTTGAAGTGTGTATAAATGTGGAATGAAAAATCTGATTTCAACAATCAAAACGGTTAGAAGGCAAGTAAAGGCAAAATTCGGGTTTTGAAAAGAACTTCCGACACATTGAAGCTATATAAGAAGACAGCGGTGAACAGCAAGAACGTCGTAACCTACCTGAGGAGACGAGATGATGATAATGTGTTGATGGATCGACTTGACTGTTGAGCGATGGATGACCAAACACGCACCGGTCGAAGTGCCAAACCAAAGGTAAAATGCATCAAAGGGTATTACCCGAACTAAAAATTAAAGTACTAGAATGGTACCGAGAGAAACATTAATTAATGCAAAATTCCAGGACAAATGACTTTCTTTCAAAAAAGTGTTAAACGCCTGAACAACAATGAATAAAGGCAGAACCAACATCGAAAACTTGACGAGAATCGCCAAAAAAAAAAGTGGTGAATCGAATTCAAAGAAGGTTAAATAAGGTGAATGGAGAAAGAGCATGATTAACTCCATAGGTAAAAATCAAAACCTATCTATAAATCAACACAAAGATCTTTGGGAGGTAACTTTCTACGATAAACTTCGAGGATGATTTAAAAATTGCTGATGAGGCAAAACAAGCGCCAGTCTAAAGCACGAGCTGTGCTGTTGTTGCTTGGAGCGTCGTTTCAATATAATCGCTACCGTTACCGTTCAGGTAATCCAATTTAGACAGGGTAATGTTGATGAGAGCCTGAGTAAGGATATAAAGAAGGTATTGACAGAAGGATCACACATCTGACGCAATTCTGAGATCATATGAAGATTTCCTGAAGATTCTTTGGAGATGTGAATAGGTCTTTCCAAAAACTTTGTTGGTTTCATCATCTTCAAAAATTAAATTCAACATCTTAAAGTCCGGAAGAAAGTCTTTGGAGCTAACATGTCCACGTTGGGATACGCCCCGCACTTGACTTTCCACTCAGAATCGTAGAGGTGCTTTTGAAGGCGTATGTGACCTATACAACTTCCTGTGGTCAGACATACGAATCAATGCTTTTGTCTTCCTAGACGAGTCTAACACAAAAACGACCTCGGAGAGATGAAAGACTTGCTTTGCCTGGGCGAGTAATACTTCGGGATTCGATCCCAGGACCATGCGTGTGGATAGTGCGCGCTCGCCACCATACCACACCGCACCCCAAAGTCAATATTAAACCGCGCAGAACCTGCTTTTGTTTTGATTTCCTCCAGAAGTCATACTTTCTGTCAGGGTGCAGTATAACACTGCTTGCGGGCGTATCTCATACTTCTAGTAGAAGAAGCAAAATTTTTCTAGTTCTATCCTTGAATCTCACAAATCACTTCTACTGTTTTCCTTAGGAAATGAGTGACATGGGGGAGTAGCACTTACGCTAAAGCATAGCCGAAATACTGCAAATAACGAGTTGCTTGATAGAAAGAAGGAAAATCCAGGCTCATAAGTCGATATATAAGTATTTTTGCCATGCTAAGTAAATAGTTGGGTAATTAAATGGTAGGATGCACCCCAATGATATGCAACAACTTCATTGGAGCTCTCCGGTATCTGTTCCTTGCGAGGGTCAGCAGGTTAGTTGTAGGCAGGCCTGAAGTAAGGGCGTATATTTGGAAGGCATCCCGATCCATTGAGAAGGGTTCAAACGTCGATTTCTAGCCAGTTCTCCTATTGTACGGCTCATCCTACGGGATCTCAGTAGTTAACACAAATGATCTGCATACTATTACGGGCCCTGTTTACCAACTTAAGGCCTATTCATCCACTACAATTCAGACTTGAATAGGAATGCAAGGCGCATCGGCTGAGCATCGACAACGCCGATTGGATTTTTGCTGGCCTATAGTCGGTCCCTGTTCGAGTCTGTTTTAATCTGACGAGATTTTATCATTTTCAAATCTGTCGAGATGCTACAGTACAGTATCCCTGCACTTTCAAAGGAAGGCTGCATTTCCCGTTTGTCATGCAAGTTTCATATTTTACATTTTAAAATTCTTTTCGCCCGATTGATATATCAAGGATAGCACATCGAGAATTCATGCAGCTTTTCCATTCTCAATCGAGAAGAGTGGGGAATACAGAACGTTTTTATCGTCGATTTATGGTCCTTAGTAAAGGGGTTTCAGAGGTTTTGACGAAAAAATGCAAGGAAAGGACGTCTCCTTCATCGTGGCTCTGGGAATGTGAATTATAATAGCACTGAAAGTCGGCAGGAAACCAGTGGTTGTGGAGTTTCCTAGGAATTTTCCATGTTTTATTTCAAAAAGCAATAAGGAATTTCCGTTTTCCCCTTTTATGTGCCTTAATCTTGATTTTCACTTATTTTCCGGTACGATAGTAAGACCCTCGTCAATGCCCGTCAGAGGCCTTTTCAGAGACGGTTATTCAGAAGCTCTATATGAAGCATAGCTGTTCGGCAACATCGACATTTTATTCCCTAATTGCTTGAAGGTAAATTTCCAATTGGGATGTTTCCACAGTTTCCTTACTGGTCGGGATCTACAACCTCTAAGAAGGCTACTGAGGCTTTATCAAGTCGAATTATGGCCTTCATGGAGCCTAGTATAAGTTCAAATCAGTCCCGATGCCCGCCTGAAAGTCCCAGGAAAGGACGTGTTTAGAGACATTGTGAAAACTGAATCATTCAAAATGGAGCGTGTTTGTTGTAAACGCAGCTCATACACGGTGGCAACTAGCATATCTTGCTCTGCAGCGACTGAAATCTCGGCCAAACACCCCCTCAGCCGTCATAACTTCGTCCAACCTCAGAAAATGCGAGAAGTGCCTTTTGGAGAATTCGAAAGTTGTAAAAGTATTGATCTTTTCACAAGATACACTATTTCTCTTCCCATAAGCTGTAATCTGTTCTGTTGTGGAAAAAACATGCAAACAAAAAATTTAGATCGATTTACAAGTCAAAAACGTCTTGTAGAAGCAAAAATCCACGAAATTCTACAGGGTAATGTGAATCCAACGTTGGCAACGTAACCATAGCTACCATTTCAGCAATAGAAACTGGTACTGCGCATTTTTTTTACTCCGCTCGCTGTCATTTCAATCTGAGTCGCTGTGGCTGTCTGTTCCTTCGAACGAGGACGTCTTATTGTGTGGCGCTGCCCTCTTATATTTCGACCATTTCTCCTAGGAGACGCAATCCCCCCGGCTTAGAATGGCCCACTCGAATGTGTTATTTAGCAATCAATGCAACTAAGCGGACACATCACGACGCTTTTCTGTGAGTTCTCTTCACATATGTGGACAAATTAATTGCTGATGAAAATTTGTGCCATTCATTTCAAAATTTCTGAAAATTCGAATAAATAATTACTCAGTTTGGATCTTCTCCATCTCCATCACGAAGTGGAGTATTTTGGAGGTTATTGAAAAAGCAGATAGCACAGCAAAATGAAAATCTTACTTTCTGGGCCTTTTTCAATTTTGTGGTTTTGAACAGCTGGAATAGTATTAGCAGAAAGTCTGTCTTGCAGTAATATCAGTTGAAGGTTTGTCCTTTCAGTACTCGCATTAGTTTTGATCGTTGTCGATGCCAACTTCACTTCCTTTATCGACTACGAAACTACAGAAGTCGGACTTCGTGACAGCAAGGTAAGAAGGTATTCCGCCTGCACCATCGGCTGATTGCTAGTAGTAATAAGCACAGCTTTGTGCAAGGTGCTAGTAGGGAAGGACCTTTCTTTTCTCCCTTTGATAGGGATTTCATACACTCAGCGCTGGGATTCCGCTTCGTTCACGTAAATCCCATGGGTTACACTAGCTGACATCAACTATCCGCTAAGTTATCTCCAGAGATCCTTATTTGTTATTTTCGGACTTGTCAGAGATTATAATTTTGGTATTTTGAATAAGCTTCTCTTCAGGGTGATGTTTGTCTTGGTGTCACATTTGCAGTAACTATTATCAACCTCAACATCAACGACACCGACAATCGAATACCGGTAATAGTTGATGCTCTATTCTTTTAACTTCAGTAATATCGAACGATTTCTGAAAAACGCAATGATGCCAGCCGGGTTCCCAACGTAGGAGTAGGAGTAGATGGAACCCAGGCATCTGTCCATCGAATGCAGCTCAAATGAATGCGCTCCCATTGATGCACCGATGGAGGTGCAGCCAAAGCCTAGCCCTTCATTCCTAGCCTGCGGTCTTCATGAGCCATGGAATGTCCGAACTTCGACCTCACGACACATCCTGACTCATACCCCCAGTCTAGATCAGAGCAACTAACAAGCGTTTTGCCCAGCGTCCATCATCACTTGGATGATCGTGAAAAAGTCGAAATAGAGTATAATGTACGCATTCTGAGATGCACTCAAATATCCACCTCAAACTCCAATGTGAGATGATAGAGAGAAGGTCTTAGCACGGCTAAAAGAAAGTCCTTTCATGAAATCCTAATGAATCTAGAATCGGTCCAATTGCCAAACGCTTAAAGAATTTCAGTGCTAAAGTGTTCTAACACAACCTAATTTTCTATATTCAGTTCGACCTGACTTCAACAACCATAGACGGCTACTGTGCAAATAATTCCAAAGGAGATGCCTTACTGACAGCCACAGCTGTTCATGAAAAGAGGAAAAAACAAATGAAATTCTACTTTGGTACCGTGAGTGTAGCTATTGCTTCATCTTGACCGAAACCATTTCTTCGTGCGTCATATAACAGTCATGCGTAAAAGTTATGAACAATGATTCTATGGGTACGGCTCGATTCTTTGAAAATTGAAACCAAATCTTCGCCTCGGGTTTCCGCTTTTTTTCTCCATGGCGGGAACTATTGATAATTTAAAATTCATCATTGAGTTAAAAAAATTATCACAAGGATATCGAATGATATACGGTGAGAAACTTTTTACAGAAAAACGTGCTAGTGAAAAAATACGAAGAACTTCGTTGGCAACTTCGAAAAGTGGTCTATTCGGAGTCATATGAAGGCAAGTCCCCTCCTATTTTAACAAGAAAGTTAGACTCGAACTAGTTTTAACATCCACTTCATATCTAGGTCATATCTCAATGAAAAAAATAATTCCAATATAGATTCGCATATAAAAAGTTCTTTCCCCCC